TTTACAAAATAGGCTAGAGGCTATAATAAATTTGGTTGCACTTCATAATGTGTGGCCAGATTTCTCTTAAAACATGAATAAAAATGAAAAATGCCATACTGTCCATTTTAAAAAGGTCTTGCACAGCCCCAGTAAAATGTGGCTGAAACTACGGCTTAGTTTTTACGTGTGTCTTTATTGTATTGTCTCCATGTTGTAAAGCAGTTTAGCTTTTAGTGGCCACCATAAGCCAAAAGGACTTCAAGATGGGCCGTCTGGTATATGGCACCATAAAACAGTTTCATCGATGGCTTGGATTATGAAAGAAGAAGAATGTTATTAACTCTGCACCTATTAAAATCAAGCCAGAGAGGTCTGGGAGCCCTTTTGACAAAAGCAAGGGAATTCAAACTAATTTTTTACAAACTGAAGCGATGACTTGAAATAAAAGGGGCACAATTTAGTAGTGGCAAAATGCCCCTTGTTGTCCGGCGCGACCTGAGCAGAGGAAGGGTCCAGGTTGGACTAACGCACCTGGTTTGGGCATCGTTCCAAAGAGGTGAGAGCCATCCGGAGAGGGAGGAACAAGATTGATCACGGGCCTGCAAAGCATGAAGCTCCCTTCCAACCTAAACCATCCTATGATTCTATGATTTCGATGTAAAGCTCAAAAGAAGCCCATCTGTGCTTTGAAAGAAGGGAGTTCTTCAGGTTCACATGACAATGGTCTTCAAATCAATACAACCCAACCTCAAGGGTATTTGTATATAGTACATACAGTATTTGTACTACAGGCTACGGGGAGATGTTAAATATTAGGAAAACTGTTCTTGCAGTGAGGAACGGGTAAGCATTGGAATAAATTGCCGCGGGAACCTCCTTCCCTAAAGACTGCAACAACAAATTAGGGAAAAGCGGTCAGAAGTGGTTAGGTATATCTGACTTTGTCTTGAGGATGATCTCTTTAGGTCCCTTCCAGCCCGAGCTTTAATGACCATATGGTTGAAATATGTGCTCTAAGTGCCACCAACTTCCGCAAAACTGCTGAACGTTAAAACATACCATTAAATGTTTTGTCAAGTCAGGGCTGAAAACGGAGACTGTCCTTAATCTGCCTGTTGCCTGCTGCCTTCAGGATGTCCTGAGCCATATGCTACCCACAGGAGTGCAGAAGACACAGCTCCCTCCAAGCTCGTTTATGTGCAGGCACAGTGGGTAAATCTAAAGTCCTGAGAAGTGAACAAAGACGTAGCTGAAACCTAGTTTCAATCAAGCTTGCGATGGGTGGGGCATGGTGAAAACATATTATTTTTGCAATTTTATAACAGGAGTGATTTAAGATCTTCTCCTTCCCCCATTGCTTAATGTTTGCTGGAAGCGGTAACTGTGTAAATCAATATAACAAAAAGGCATTTGTTCAGGCGTGGACCTGGTTTTGAGTCTACCTGTGCGCAGCCACCACCCACATGAACTGATTTCACAGCAAGAATGACTCTACCCCTGTATGTTCAGACACTCCAATACATTTATTTCAGAGCTGTCTAAAATAATCTTGATTTTAATCCAAAATAGCTGACCTGTGGCAGATGATTAGAAACACGGGACTTAAATTAAAAGGAAATTAAAGAACAAAGACAAGAGCAATAAAGTTCAGGAGATGATTTATGAAGGCTGAGGACACCTGACCTACATCTCCATCCCCTGCAAAGCAGTGTTTGGGGGGACATGAACCTGAGATGACGTTCCCTATTCCAACATATTACAGAGGCACCTGGATCCCAACACAGAAGATGCTCAACTGACATGGTGCTGAGAAGCTGAGTCGCAAAAAATAGTGGATGCATCTGTTAATCCATGCCATTAAAAAACAAGAAGTCACTCCTACTGTTTTCTTTCTGCCCTGCAAAAGGAAGGTGTCCACCAGCTGGGAGAGATGTGTCCCGGAGCAGCTTGCACCTTCTTGGGAACCCTCCGAAATGCGGGAAGGCTGTCCTAGGAATGTGGCACCACTGGCCCTGGCCAGACTGTGGTCTCTCCAACCCGCATGTCTGCTCTTCAAACATTGAGGATCACACAGGTCCTGCTGTACGTGAACAAAAGCCTTTATCTGCTCTTGTTCCAGCACCAGAGCTGGTCCCCGTCTAAAATACCACAGTCACTACTCAGCTGGTTTCTCCCCGTGAGAGAAGCCTGGGTAAAAGCTAATTACATAGTCTGGTTGGGGATGAAGAAAGAAGAACAGCATCCATAAGGACAAGACATGTTGCAAGAGATGTCAGGTAGCCATTAAAAAACAGAGCAAGTGATGTACAACACCAATGCAAATCTGTGGGAAATGTCTCTTGGCACACAAAAAAACTGGAAAAGCAAGACAAAAAGATGTAATCTCCATAGAATTGAGAAATATTTAAATTTTAGGCTGCCTCACCTAAAAGCCATGTACTCGTGTATGAATGCATTGAAGGGGTGACCTATTTCACAGAGGTGTCGTAAAAAACAGGGTATATTGATACAAACCACAGCTGGAAATGAAAACGCAGGCCAATGGGAGTGTCATTCCTTCTTGGCCAGCAAGACTCAACCTAAGCCCGAAACATTCCAGTTTTCAACCAGAAACCACCAGTTGCCCTCTTGAAGGGTACGGAGATAACCTGTGAGGGACTTGCCCACAGCAGCGGAGGTTAAGCTATAAAAATCCTCTTCCTTGCAACATGCTTTATTTATTTGATCAATTTTACTCTTGGAAAGAGCGAAAATGTGAATGTTTTCCAGGAACAAATTCCAAGGCTGCTCTGTACTAGCAGGTTACCGTAACGCACTCAGGCAATAAGAGAGTCAATTCCTCCAATACATTTGGCATTAGTTCATTTTTCAGCCTTAAATTATAAAACATATTTTTCATGGAGAAGATAGAAGCAAGAGGTAGCAATTCTAGGCTCTGTTTTGACAAAAATAGTATTTTCTTGTTTTAATAACAAAATTTCCCTCGGTGGTAAAGAAAAATAATAAAACCAGGAGTGTTAAGCTGAACTTTTAATTATCTTTTATCCTTTTGTGTGCAATTCAGTATTAACTGAGACTTACAGAAAATGACCTTAACCAGCATTTCTCTGCTTAGGAGAGCAGGGGCAGTGTGTTCAACCCATCCCTGAAGAAACCCTACGAGGTGATGAAAATGTTTCTCCCGTCAGTAGCCTTCGGCAGGCTGCCGGAGTGGCACCAGGGCTTCTTGGAACCTTCTGAGACTTGGACGTCTCCTAAGGATTAAATATCTCTACCTGACTGTGATCTGACACGTTGAAGCGACAGAGCATGTCCAAGTCCTGCCCTTCCTCACACCTGGCCAAGCATCACGCATCGCTACCATTTCAAGATGTCAACATCTTAAAGCTTCCAAATTAACTACATAAGCAGCCAGAGGTAAAGGACCGACCCACGGACATCAGTGAGAGTCCAATTTCTTTCCATAAGTGTGCAGTTTGAGAGTCCCCTCATGAAGACAAACTCATGCACCTTCCCAGGAAGATCTTTAGGTTTTCCAAGCTTGACAGCACATGTCAAAAAAGCCTTAAAAATGAAAACAAATCTCACAAGCTCCTTCACAAGATCTAAACCAAGCCCCAGACCGGTGAGTCCCTCACTACAGGTCACCTCAGGCTCAGAAGCCAGCGGTGACATTAATTTAGGAGACAGATCTTCTGAGCTTTATGCTGTTGTCAACAGAGGGGGAAAGGCCTTCAAAAGGGAAGTTCAGCACAACCCGACTTAAACTCCTGCTCAAAAGCATCCTCCGCAGCAGATGGCTATAGAAGGTGCGGGGCAAGGAGAGCCTTCCCAGGCTACGCCTGAGGTCTCGTGACTCTCTTCCAAAACAACAGTTGCTAATAGAAAATAAATAAATAAATAGAAAACCAAACCCAAACCCCAGGAAGGGACCAACGCTCTCACGGACGTGCTCTCCTCCGCACAATTTTACATACATCCAAACAGGAAAAGTCAGAAATCAAATCATATGGAAGAGCAAGTCGCACTTTTAACACAGATTTTACACATTACGTCACAAATTATCACTGAAACACTTCATTTTGCCAGTTTTCCCCGTTCCCAGCACTATGGGTGTGTTTGGCTCCCGCAGGATTACGGAGCGGGGATTTCCCTGCAGTTCCGTGATGGCAGCCGTAACTCTGTTCCCTTTTCTGCCCTTAACTTACAGGAGTTCCTAACATACTGTACTGGTGTCCGGTATCAGAAACTCCTCCGTGGTCAGCACCGTGATGTAAACTAAGCTCCCTTTTTCTATTGTAAGTCTTTGTATTTACATGATATCACAAACGGGTCATGCAACGGCTGCTGTTTCAGTCTCCTCCTGCTCAGGCTTTGTTTTAATAAAGACCGCAGAGCTCTAAATCTAAAGCAGAGCAAAAAACAAGCTCGGGTTTTGTCCTTTCTCTAAAATTCTGCAAAAAAGAAATAGTTTTTCTGTGAAGTGTTGTCATAGTTCAAACACTGAATCTACAGCTTTTGTGATAAACAAGTACGTCTGTCTCTAGACCTGAGTTAGGAACTGCTTACAGGAGACATCGTACCGGTACTCCAGTTTTGGCTAAGTAAGATTTTAGGTTGCTCTTTCAATCTTAGCACTCAACGACCATGCAGCTCTTCAGGTTGTTTAGAAAAGGCAATCAATCCCATAAACATAGGACCACCTGGAGAGAGAAGATGCGTGCTCCTCTCTCAGCCTAGTATATAAATTCTTCTTGGTTACTGCAAAGGTTGGACTCAAAGATCGTAATGGTCTTTTCCAACCTAAGTGATTCTATGATTCTAAAGCATTTATTCGGACATTTTTCTTTCATAGGAAATACAATTCAGCTTTCTTCAACCATTAGAAAATATGTAATCTCATCACATGATTTTCTTCCAGTTACTCAGGTGTAATAACACAGAAAAATTAAAGGACTTGTAACACAGTACTAATGCTAGGACATCACGCAAACTTCAAAGAAGAAAAGGTTACCTACCAGCTCAACTCGTCCAAACCCTCCGACTCCAAGGGTGTCAATGATGTTGAAATCAGACAGTTTCAGGTTGGCGAAGAAGGCAGCTTCGGCTTCGTATCTGGATTTTTTTATGCGAAAAAATGGAAATTTCTTAGAGGTGCAAACATGAGTACTGTGCAATACCGTACCCGAATGGCATGAGTGTGGAACAGCCTTTACCTGCTTAATTTCCATCTTATATCTTACAGTTTGCTTTTGTTCACACTCATCGTTTTGCTGGTCCCAATTAGAGTATTGCTCCGATGCGGACGGTTTTCCAAGTGAGAAAAGCAAACATACCTACTGCATGCCTACAATGCAAATGTCTGGTACTGCAATTCAGCTCCAGCTACCCAGCAAGTGCTACATTTTGACATTTTCTATCGATCTTCTCGTGGGTGGTTTTTTTTTTTGGTGTCTTTAAGTATTTTTGGAAGATAAAGTCTCTCATAGGAGTTTCTCTTATCCACAGGCTGGCAGTAGTTTCTATAAATGTTTATTGAAAGTGGCAAGATCATTAAGGTCCCTGGAGAGAAATCACAGCCAGGTTTTATGAAATCAGATCCGATAAGCTGCGGGCTGGTGTGCAAATGCCTGAAATGAATGACTTCAGTCACATATCAACATTCCTATAAGGATATCTTCACTTCTTTTCCTCCTATAAACTCACTTGGCGTAGACGTCCCAACCCAGGAGGTCCCAAAATCCAGATGCTCTCTCTTTAGCCCATGTCCAACTGGCTCGCGACACAAGTTCACCAAGCCCTTGACTAAGGAAGCATGCAAATCGAACACATGCAAGCCTGCCAAAATAAGCTTCCCATGACTATCCTCATGAATATGATTCCTCTAAAATAGCTCCTTGTCAAGGTTTATGGTATTTTTAGAAAGGCTCGGAGGGGAAATGGATGAACAGGATCCACCCACTCAATAAAGTTTGACATTCAGCTGCCGGAGAAGTCCCCGTGCGCGTACAACCTTTGGCCGCTGGTGACACAGACTTGTATGGGAAAAGAGCGTTGATGGGATTATGGAGCGAGGCACGGAGGGTGTAAAGGGGGAGTTGCCTTGGTTTTCAGGACTTAATTTTGGCCATAATATCTCGCAATTAATATAGACCATAATCCCCTATTTCACCTGGATGCTTCATTTGTGCATGATAGCGGTAGCGTAAAGATAAAACATCATAGCCACGATCGTATATATGTATCTACCTGTCTATCTTCTTAATGTACCTTGTCCGTCACGTCTGTCTCAATTCAATAATAGGATGGAATTGATTTACTGACCTATTCCCTTCAAACCACCTTCTTTAGTCTATTTAAAACTGCAATGACACTGGGGGAGAAAGAGAAAAAAAAACCACCCCAATTTTAAAGTTCCAAGGGAAAAAAAAAAAAAAAAAAAAAGAGGTGTCAAGAAACATGAAAGGTCACATCACCAATCCCCAAATCCAATGCAACAAAGCGCAATTTTATCTCGGGGGTGCTGTCGACAAATTACTTAAGCTCTGCTTTATTATTTATACTGTCACCAGATCCTCTCGGTGACCTTGCTCCGGTGGCCGCAGCAGCCTGATGCATCCGATTTTGGAAACCAATCAGTTCCGAGCCTGCCCTGAACTTGGGATAACCTTGTGTGACACAGTTGCTTATCGATCGCTCTATACTCATCATGAGGTGCATACTAAACCTGTCACTAAAAAACCTCTGCTACAGGAAAGACGTATTTCTACATTCCCTTCTAAATCGCAGCAGACACGTCATTTTAGGGGCGACAGAGCAACAAGATGAGTCTAATTCTCACGATAAATGTATAGACAGAGTATGAGTTATCTTTCACGTTCCTGACCAGTTAAACACCCTTAATGATTTATAATTGCTAGTAAGATGAAATCCCAGCATGGAAAATTTCCCTTCAACAGTCGAACGATGGATTCAAAACTCCAGGTGAAGAAGCCCTGCATTCCCTTTGCCCAAAGCTGGGGAGCCTCCCTTCTTGGTGGAAAGAGGAAGGAGAGAAAATGTGGAAGAAAGCCACCTCGAGCTCCCAGGGAGGCAGTGGACCACCTACCCCGTCCTCTCCCCTAGGCAAGCAGAGAGGATTTCTCAAGCAGGGAACGAGAGATGCCAAATAGCAGCGTGTCAGAGGGGTTAGGGACTCCAAAAACATATGGGACAGAGAGGGGAAATGTTGGTTTGGTTTTTTTTTCCCTGTAATACCTCTTACCCTGAAAGATGGCCAAGTCCTACAAAAATGATGCATAGTTCACTTCATGCAACACGAGAGGACAAAAACTAGGTTAGGACATGGCACGGTGCTGGCAAGGCAAGCAGGATGCTAGTCCCAGCCCCTGCAAATTCCACCAATTCTCCCGAAAATCCCTCGGTTTGACGGGAGATGGGATCTTTCGCTTCAGTCCCAACTTCTTCATTGTTTTGTGTGTTGAATCGCAGAAGCTGAAAGCTCTGCTGGTGGCTTTTAAAGTGAAAAAAAAAAAAGTGTATTCATTTATTATTTTGCTTAAAAAAAATGTACTTGCAGCATTATGGTGATTGCTTTTTTGAAATCTCTTGGCTAATTCTCTTTGACAGACTGCTTGTGTGTAGTTAGTACATAGAAGTGCAATGATGCATATAAAACAAGTGGGATGCAGTTCTCTATTAGTGTGCAACAGGCATCCAAAAACCAAAAGAAATTCGGAAAATACATAGTGAAACCAAAACACGTGTAAAATCAAGCCAGCGAGCCCGTCACACACGTAGTAACAACAGCCACATCTGAATTCTGTTTTATTCCCAGCTACAAAGGTCAAAGTCCACTTTCGAATCAAATTCCTATAAGGGAACAGGAGTTACACACTTCAGCCCTGCAAAGCTTAAGAATAAATCTCTTCAGTCACTTCCATAAAAATATCAAAATGCAAATACTCCCAAGCCGTCTCCTAAATCAGAAATCGGGTATAACCCTCATCCTGAAATTTAGAACATGAATTCTACTTCTGGCCTCCAACTTCCTTAATTTGAGCATGCCGTTCCCTGAAACAGAAACTCCCAAGGTTTTGCAGCGTGTGCTCCTCGCTCAACAAAATTAGTGAAAAACATATGCGATGTCTTATTTTATCACCTCCAAAAGTAAAGGGACCCTTTTCAAGGCATTGGGAGGGCAGTGCAAAGAAATACAGAAGAAGTTTAAACATTAATACTGGTGCCTCTGTATGAGAACGTTCGGTTCCGGACCAGGTTGAAGAGATGCGCTACGCTCAGATACAGGGGAGGATGCTCAGGATATTCCCTGGGAATATAACAGAGATGGGATGAACGGTGGAGACAGTTTGGCCACACTTGTGCAAGATGATGTGGAAATAATTCGGCACTCTGTGGGAAAAATACACGCGTGCCAGGGCAGGGGGTACTTCTTCTGGGTACCGCTTTGCAGATGCCGCAGCTTCTTCCCATTTGGTACTTAGCAGTCTAATGAAAAAGGCCGGTACATTCTAAATACGCAGCCGTGCGCCGATGTTCTGAGAAATGATTTTTTTGACCTCTGGAAGAGTTGATGATTTAAGTTCCTAGATTAATAGATAAGAGGTGTAATGGGAAGACATCTCAGGCAAGAACGCTCATCAGCATCACATCCGCGTTCAGTGACATTCTGGAGCTATGCAGATGCAAGGCTCAAACTTTCTATGCTGAGATTTCTGGGGTTTTTTGACTCTAGTTGAATGAGACATAATTAAGAAAGGGCCCTTCTCCGGATATTTTGGTAATTGTGCTTCTTGCCCCAGCTATCACAGGCCAAACCACCTGGAAAATCATAGTACGCAAAAGGAAAAGACACAGAGATCGTGTGATCTAAATAGGGAGAAATAACACAAAGTCTGTTCTTTAATAAAGAGCTTTTACAATTTACCTGGTCTAGTGGAAGGTGTCCCTCCCCATAGCAGGGGGTTGGAACTAGATAATCTTTAAGGTGCCTTCCAACCTAAACCGTTCTATGATTCTATGAAAAGGAAGGCTGAGACTTTCACAAGAGCTTGTAGGAGGCAAGATGTCAAGTCCCTACGGACTCTTAATGGGACTTTTTTTGCTTATGGAAATTGGGTTTTGTAACCTACCCTACCAAACCATCCCTGCCAGAGCTTATAGTTCACTCCTGCGGCTAAAAGGAGAGGTATCTCCTCCATAGGGGGTGTCAGAAAACATGACGGAAAAGGAGATGTTCAGATCTAAGTCAAACACGAGTAGACTGCAGAATCTCCCAAGCTCTTCTCTGAGGTTCCTTGCAAATCTGAATAACAGAGGTACCTACTGACATCTCACTGGAATGACCGGCTTCCTGTAACGATCTCGCCCTAACGACTATCAGTGCCCTCCTGTGGAAGAGTTAGGATTTGGGACCACCATTTCTTTCTCTCCTTCCAAATAAAATACATGCTCCTAAGGAATCGCTAATCAAAATGTCTTGATTCAGCCTCCTCTTCGGCACGGACAGGCATCACATGCAAGAAACCAGAGTCATCGGGGGGATCAGGAGCAAATACCATCGTCCACATGTCCCGTTACTTTGAAACAGCAGCGCAGGAACCACGGCCCAAGCATGTGGGCAATGCCTGATATGCAGAAAGGGAGAGGAAAACATGTGGCTTCTTGCACTGCTGGAGGTTTCCAACCATTTAAATGAGCGATTACCTCCTAGGATGACAATTACTCCGAAACACATTTCAAACTTTTCCTCCCAAAACTACAAACACACAAAAAAAATAAAATTAAAAAAATTCATCTTACCTAGGCAGCTGAAAAGGATAAATGAGAAAATGTGAGGAGTAAAGGTTTGCCATTACCCAACTGCTCAGCTTTACTAAACTAGCTCACGATTCCTATCACATGAGCTAAATGTGTTGGGAAACATTAGACATCTGTTGCCAAACTGTCATCTTGATAGAAAACTTGGCTTCTTTCCACCTGTGCGCTGCCAACTAGACGTAAATTGCAACCAAATGGGAACCAACCACCAACTCCCTGATAAGAGCAAACATAACCATTTGGGGTGGATAAAATCAGAATTTTGGAGCCTTCCT